GTACTTTTTCTGGTATAAAAATTATACTCACTAAACCTGTTTTTTAAACAGTAGGATACACCCAACCTCCTTAGCTTATAGGGAAACTGTAAGCATAAAATAAAATCGACCTATGAAATAGTTTAAAGGCATGCTAGTCCTTTTTTAGAAATATTTTCCATTATGTTGATTATAAATCAATTCTATAGTCGCCCCCTATGGGCTATGCCCTGAGGTAAGAAGGAGAGAGATCGAGGAAAGGAAATGGCATAAGAAGAGCCTCCTTTTTGTTGGGAAGTGAAGGGGGCACTTTATAGGTGGGGAGGCATATTATACTAAAATGGTAGAGGAGGAAGCATTTATCATCTTCCTTCAGGTTAGGATGCCTTCTGTTAAGAGTGACTACCTATCTGCCCTGTCACAAAACAGTGTCAAACAATTGGTTTGCTAAGCTGTATAAAAGAAGTCTAGGAAAGAGGAGGACTGGTGAATTTGAAAGACATCTCAATGCTATCAGAACTCAGAATCAAATTATTAGCTTTCCTTTCAATGTTGAAATACAATTACAACAGTGCTCAATCTTTTCTTGTCTTCCAACAGTGATAAAACAGCATTAAAAGCCTCAAGGCAGGGGTGGAATGGGCCCAGTGGTCAAGTGTTTGCCTAGCATACCCAGTCCTTGGTTTCCATCCCTAAGCACTGCAAGCAAAAAAAAAAAAAAAAAGCCAAAACATAGGCAGCTATTTGCCTCCTTTAACTGAGGAACAAAATCTAACAGTTCTCACTCTAGCAGAGCTCCTCTTAACATTTCATTGACTGGAAGGAAGGTCACAACCCATCCCTAAACTCATCTGCAACAAAGGGGAGTAAGATTAGCGTTACTTGCCCAGACAGAGTCTAATACCTGAACAAAATAGGATTCCATGAACAAGGAAAGAGGCTGGCATCAGTTGTTGGGACGTTATGCATCAGTGGTATATATTTTGTTAACTTTTTCCTGAAAGAGAAACATGACGTGTTCCTTCTTTCTTTATTGGTCATGGGTAACTGCTGTTGCTTTTTAAGTGTCTCCATGATTTCCATCCAAAGAATTATTCTTAAAGTTGGGACTTTGCAGGGCAGTTCTTCAATAGTACTGTATATGTTTGTGGTATTTGAAGTTTTGAGGTTGGGTAGTCATATTTCACTAGCACAGGCAATAGGAAAATTGGTAAGGCACTGTCATCATCCAATTTAAAGATGTTTAACTTTTCCCTTCCCTTTAGAACATCTGACCAATTAGATTTGGGAAGGTTTGCTACTGATGAAAGAGATGGCACATTGCTGACTATAGGGTTTTGATGGGATTTAGAACAGGTGCCTCCCAGTACAGGTTAATGAACAATTAACCATCAGAAGCCCAGAGAAGGAAGCTTTCTAACCCTGGGATGGGGGGTGTAACTGTTATCTTCAAGTCGTTGGACAGAAAACACAAACACCTGTACAGAAGTAAAGTGATCCCTTCTTCACCCTTGTTTGTTCTGTCATATCTCAACCCTAGACTGCAGTATGTCTATATTATGGATTTTCCCATTGCCTTTACTTTATGTATTACCCTTTGATTGATGGATATTCACCAACATAAAGAAATGTATTTCAGTCGTATGAAGTATTCTAGGGATCGTATAACTGACACTCAGTTATTCAGCTGTAGGTTATGATCTGTCAGCAGCAAGTGGCCTAAGCCTTAAGAAATACCCAAGGATCTTCAAAGCCATGAGATTTGTTGACTTTGCTGGAGAATAATAAGTGTGTGCTCTAGCAGATGCTAATTTACTTGAATGTTTCTTTTCACATTCTGTCCTGAGCCATGAAAGCCCCACTTGCCAAGTCTTCATTTCCTAGTTACCTTACAAAGGTTTTCACTGTCTCTTTAACTGGTGCTTTTTGTGATAGAGATAATTTAACATCAGATAGACTTTCAAAAGCATATAATTCAGGACATGCTTGAATTGATTTTGAGTGGCCAAAGTATTTTTCCCTCTTCAGTAAACAGCCCTGTCAAAGAATAAACAGGTTTCCATAGAAAGGCCATGTGATATATATGAACAAGTTTACCCCTCCCACACATAGGTGCTTAAAAACTGTTGTCAGTATTTGTTGTCTGTAGTTGACATGTGTTTACATATAAATGTAATGCCATTAATTTCTTAAGACATACCATGACGAGGTAATTTTTCATTGTTTCATTTGCTATGTTGGTTTCCTATCAGATGTAAAAGGCTCTGTTTCTCAATTTCTTTTTGAGATAGGATCTCTCTGTAGCCCCGGCCAGCCTGGATCTTGATATGTAGACCAGGCTGGCCTAGCTCTCATGGAAATCTGCCTGCCTCTACCTCCCAAATGCTGGGATTAAAGGTGTGTACTACCTCGCCCGGCCCTATTTATGACTTTTTTTTCAAATGTGTGACTGTTATGCCTGTATATATGTTAGTACACTCATGTTGTACAGAGCCCATGGAGGCCAGAAGATGGTGTTGAATCCCTGGAACTGGAGTTATAGATGGTTGTTAGCCATCATGTAGGTGCTGGAATTTGAACCTGCCCAGGTCTTTGGCAAGAGCAACCAGTGCTCTTAACTGCCGAGCCATCTCTCCAGCCCTCTGTTTCTAGTTTTGTAATGTGTAGAGGAATGCAGTAGTAAAACATTAAGATTTTTGCTCCTTGCAGATGTCTACTTGTGCATACACCTGCAGAAAATATGAAATGGTTCACATCCACTTTTCCTGAGAGGAAGGATGCCCATTGGCTTTTCTACCTCAGAAAAGCAAATCAGTCCATAGCATTCATGATGTTCTATAATGTATTCAGGTAAAATGTATTCTCCTACAATAAGCACTCTTAGTGTTCTGAGGGTGACCCCGTATTTATGCAGCCGTAATAGCCTACCTGTTAAGCATACCTTTTCCTGAGCCAATATGACCAGGAGCAACTTCTTCTAGGCATCTCATTCGATGAAGCACCTTGAATGTTGTGTTTTCCTTTTTTTCTTACAGCCAAGGATTACTGCAAAGTAATATTTCCATATGAGGCACAGAATGATGATGAATTGACAATCAAAGAAGGAGATATAGTGACTCTCATCAATAAGGTAAACAAAAGTTCTTCATTGCCTTCTAAACTGTAAAGTGCTTTGGAGTATCTACAGGGTATTTACAAGCTTTTATTGTATCCATTTTTTGGCTTATGTTTTCTTTTGAGACAAGGTCTTCATGTGTAACCCAGGCTGATCTCAAACCTGCGATCCTCCAGCCTCAGCCTCCCAAGTGCTGGGATTATAGACTTGTACTGCCATACCCATCTTGTTTTATCCCTTCAAAGATTTGATTTTATAGCCCTGAATTTGTGAGAAGAATTTGCATCTTCCTCTTTGTTTAGGCTTAGTCTAGGTGAATGAACCAACTTGAGAATCAAATAGATTTCTGTGTACCTCAGGGCTAGCTGCAGGTGGCCCTGAAGAACAAAAGTCTGTCCTGGAAGAAATAGCCCAGAAGGCAGCCTGCAGCCTGCTTGCCTGTAGGTTTCCCCCTCTTATAGTAGCCAGGCTGCAAGCTCTGGGTCATCAGGGACCAAAAGTGGGGGTTTTAAAAGGCTGGTCATGCCTCCCAGGCAGCAGATGTTTAAAGAATGATTGTTGTTCAGAGTAAAGACAGGTAGAATGCCTGATAGAATTTTGCTTGTCATGTTTGGGTAAAAAGGTTGGATGATTTTATTATCATTACAGCCAAAGCCCTGTAAAACCTGGAGAGCTGTAAAAATCTATGTGATGCGATGTAGCTTGCCCGGGTCTGGACCTTGTACCATTTCTGCTTTCATGCAATGCTACTCAGAAAGCTGGTTGTTGGAAGTCATATCATTCAAGTGGTTCCTAGAACATACAGCCTTTCTCTCCAAAGTGCAGGGATTTTATGATAGTTGGATACAATGAGAATCCAGGCACTCTTTAAGACATAGAAAGTGGTTTTATCTTGTACCCAGGTGAGTGACTGGGAATGTATTACTCTCTACACACAAGGATGACTTGGAGATCACCATGGTCATCTAAGCTTTTGCTGGGCTGTGAAGCATTGACCTGCTAAAGATGTAGGAAGGAAGGAGAGAGAGAGCAGGGAGGGAATTTGAGTGGGAGTAGGTTCCATGGCCATTAGGAAGAGGGAAGGGGCTTCTTCTCCATCACCTGTCTCTACCCCCAGGTGTTTTATCTATAAAGTGATCAGTAGAATTTGCCTTTATAATTTAGGAATGGTGAGATGGGTACAGATAGGGGGTCTAAATATGATAAAAATATATTTATGAAATTCACAAAAATTAAGAAAAAAATTGCTAAAAAAGAAATAACTATGGAGATTATATATTTGAAGAGCCTAATACAGAGATGACAGTGAACTGAGGACCTTGGAGGTCAGGAAGCTTGCCAACCATTAAGTGATTTTTCATTTTTTTAGAGAGAGCTGACTAGCTCACAGACTCAATGCAACTGATATACTAAACAATACTAGAGCTATACAAACACCTTTCTAGAATAGCAAATTATTCCCTCTCTTGCAGATTACTCAAGAACTCGTCCAACATTTACCTATGAAATATTCTCCCATTAGCTTATTTCGGTATAGCTCCATGGGTGTGGAATGTGGCAGAAGGAAATGAGTGGAGGGGGACAGTTCTTCTCTCGTTCTGTTCTGCAAGAGGCATTTCTTCTTATCACCCTTCCTCTCCCTTTTCCTATAACAGAGACTCTCTTCTGCACAGTGCGTTTCCTTTTTATTTTTTAAAATCAGACCTGTAACCAAACAAATGGAATAAGCAAGTTGTTAAGTGAGTGTGAAGCATAATGCAAGTACTTTAATAACTGGAACTGATAATTGGTTTTAATAATTTAGGGAAAGCGAATAGAACACTTTCCCCTTATAATGATAGAGCAATCAGGGAATTAGTAACTGCCATTCTTTGCCGTGGGTGATGGGCTCACTGTTTCTGTTTTGTTTCATTTAGAGGAGGGGAGGCCCATTTTTAATTGAAAACCCAGTGTGTTAATAACATTTAATAAGGTTTGAGAAAAGGAAACACCACTACAGTCCCATTTTTACCTCAAGAAGTCAATTTCCATTTTAACACTGTATCCTCCAAGCCTTGCCGCTTGAATACATGCTCTACACGATGAGAACACACTCATTCCTTGGTAATCTTTATCCCGAATGTTGCAGCCTGTGATCCAACCTCATCAAAAAAAATCTGATTTATCTAGAGGCCTTGGCCAGGAAAGGAATGTCCACCAGTCCCAGCCATGAACAGGGCAGTGTGACAGACTGCTTTCAAGAACGTCCTCTGAGGATGGCATCCCATTTCTCTGGATTTATAGGGTAATATTCTTGGAAGCAGTTTGATGATACATTCACAAATCTGATGTTGCCATCTCCCCTATAAACATAGTCAAGGGGCTAATCTGATGTTGCCATCTCCCCTATAAATATAGTCAAAGGGATAATCTGATGTTGCCATCTCCCCTATAAACATAGTCAAAGGGATAATCTGATGTTGCCAGCTCCCCTATAAACATAGTCAAAGGGATAATCTGATGTTGCCAGCTCCCCTATAAACATAGTCAAAGGGATAATCTGATGTTGCCATCTCCCCTATAAACATAGTCAAAGGGATAGTTTGCTCACTGACCCTGTTCTCCAGGCCTAGCGAATATTTACTGTAACTTGGTCTCTGTTGGTTCAACATCCCACCCCCCACCCCTGCACACAAGCATCTTTTCTAGGCTCCACCCCCTGAAACTTCTTGACCATGCACATGAGCCCCTGGCTTGTCTTGGGGGCCTAATAAACAGAGTCTGACCCTGTTTTTCAACTCCTGATCTGGTAAAGAATGGAGTGATGCTTTTACCAAGCTCCACCTACCCCACCCCCATCTGCTTCATTTTTACCACTCCAGTACCTTCTCTTTGATATGCCATAAGAATGCTTCACTCATGACCCCTGTGCACCAAGCAAAGTCTTCAGTCACTTTTCTTTCCTTTATGGTAAAATTCCAACAGGGGATTTTGACATTCCTTCCTGATACATTTTGGCCTTGGTGCATAAAAGAAAACAACTAAGTGGATAAGCAGGAACATATATGCCCAGGGTCAGGCCCGTGAGGACATGTGAGCAAGATGGGGACATATGGGAGTTCTCTCGGAATAATTACCTGTCCCCATCTTGCTCCATGGGCCTGACCCTGAGCATATATGTTCCTGCTTATCCACTTAGTTGTTTTCTTTCTAACGTAATTTCTTTAAAGCTTATCTATTTTTATTGTGGATCTCTCAGTGTCTCTCTGCCTCAATCTCTGTTTTCTGTCTCAGTCTCATCCTCTGCCTGTGTTTCTCCTTCTCTTCTCCCTTTCCTCTCTCTCTGTTGTTTGTTTTGTTTTGTTTTGTTTTGTTTTTTGATAGCTAATACCAGAGCCAGTCTTAACTCACACTGCTTGGGCCCATTATGAGCTTGTTGCTTAACCAAAGTCCCTTGTGTTCTATCATCCTTTTTGTATTATTTTATGTGATCTGCTGAGAAAACAGGCCCGTTAGTATCCTCTGCTGATACAGATTTTATTTTTATTGCCATAAAATTCCTGTCAACTTTGACCTTGGAAGCAGCATGTTCAGATAACAGATCATGTAGGCTACCATCCCAGAGAAGTCAAGGTTTGAATTACAGCTCCACAGTTTCTGGTTGTGTGTCTTTAGGAATATGTCTTGACCTCTCTAGGCTTCAGTTTCCCCAGCCATTGAGCAAGGGCTATGAAGCTGACCTAACAGGCTTACTGTAAGAATTTCTTAAGACACTGTGCATGAGATACCTCTCCTAGGAACGAATCTGCCAGGGCTATTCATAATCCCAATTGTTGTCAGCTTCTACTCTGACTGCTCATTCTCAAACTTCAGAAAGGGAATTGTGGACTCTGGGCCTAGTCCCTGTTTGTTGCTAGGCCTGGAGTGCTGTGACATTAACTAGGTAAAAGTTACTTTAAAAATCCACCTAAAATAGTTAAGAATTCACAGTGGATTAGATTTTAGCAAGATGTTGGAAAGAAAAACCTGCCATAAATTTTTTACCTGCTAAAAGTAGGGAAAATGGAGTTTGACCCTGTAAAAGCCCTGCTGACATTATAGAAAAATTCTTCTTTTAAGTAAATGAGTTACCCAGAAGTTCATTCAGATGATTATAAGCTGTAGTAAAGTGAATAGTTTCACCACAACTGGTTTAATATGCATTTTGATGTCCTGTTTATTATATATATGAGCCAAGGTAAAAGATCTGAATCGGTGTTCTCTACATTTAGTTGCATTTGCTATTAGAGTTTCCACTGGCCCCAGATGCTGTGCATGTTTCCTTTTGCTGTCAGCTAAGGTGATTTCCTTTGCCCTGTTTTTCTGCATCAAGGCGGGAGTCAAAGAGCAGGTGCTGCCCTCCTTTTCAGCCCTAGGTTGTCATTTTGTTTGGCTTTCTAGAAAATGAGTCAGATACCTTTAGTGGGTGTCAATAAGCCCTTTCTGTGGTTCCTGAAATAAAGTGCAAACACTTGAACTATTTGTATGTGTCCCTGAAAACTAGGATGAGATGTGGCAACTGGAACGATTTGTTTTTAGTTTATTTATAAAGAGGGCTTGTGGATTTGGGAACATTTCTACTTGTGCAGAACACACCTGTGTTTAGTTGTTGTTTTTTTAAATTTTTTTTATTTCTAGTTCCTCAAAAATAGCTCCCTCGTCTGTGTTACTGCCGCCCCCATCCTTGCCTTCCTGATTTGTGCTCAGAGTGTGTTTGGGAACGTTCAGAAGTCTGGTGTGGTTTCTCTTCCTCCCTTCCTTTCCTTCCCTTCCTTCCTTAGCTTCATTCCCTTCCTTCCCTTCCTTTCCTTCCCTTCCTTTCCTTCTTTTCTTTCCTTTCTTATTTATTTATTTATTTATTTATTTATTTATTTATTTATGCATGTATGTATTTATTTATTTAATAATGGGTCTCCTATAGCACTGACTAGCCTCTAATTCACTATGTGACTGAAGCTGGCTTGAATTCCTCATCTCCCTACCTCTGTCTCTACAGT